GATGACTAGTGGGGGGGCCTCCATTAACCTGGGGTGATTGGCAAGAGGGATAGAGATGGTGATTGGGCGATGGACGATCTGGATTGATTGCTCCTCAGAACGATGACGGGATTGGCTTGTTGTGGTCGAGTGTCTGTTGGGTGTTGGAGCAAACATCACAAGAACATGACAGAGAGGTCTGGATACACATCTTGTGCTGGACATAGATGACGATGACACTGTCCACGAAGTTTTGCAGAGGACTATGGCATGTTTGTCACACTGTCGATAAGGTAGCAAGCGCTTGTGGACCAGAGAGGAGTCATGGACAGATATATAGGAAAGGGAGATACCCATAAATGAGACATCAGAGCAACATGTGTTACAGCGTTTCACATAACCCGTTTTCGTTCTATATGTTGGAGGTAACGGAATGATACACCACAAGTGGCATTGAGTGTGGGAGTGAATTTCGTGTATTGATTAGGTTAAAAGAGAGAGAGAGAACAGAACAGGGAGGACGGAGTCCGACGTGGTTTATATACAGGGTAGCTATGTGTGGATCGTATCCACTTAGACAGAAACGCCAAAGAATGTGATGGCTTCAACACTATAAACTTGCTTTCGTATCAACCCTCCATGCTCCCTACCAAAGCACCAAACACACGTATCCACGGTCAGAAACATACAGCCGCAACGCAAAAGGATATGTGCGAGCTCAGATTTCACAGGCTTGCAAAGCGAGCTCCTTTCGGAACATCATCATCACCCAGGAATACCGACAAAGCTAGCACACCAAAGCTGGTCAACAACCCATCGGCCTAACTGCGTTTCGGTGTCTACAGCCAACACATCACTTGCTCCTGCGCCGGTGGTGCTGCTGGACTTGGGTGGCCACAGCATGGGGCGGTCGGTCCGCGATTTCCGCAACGATGAATGTCAATGCTTCAATCCAGCCGTACCGTGCCTTCAAAACGTAGAAGAATGCATTGGGAACCTACCTCTCCTCTCGGGAGACCGCTGATCACTGATCACTGATCACTGCCCAGGACCTGCAACTCCATGGCATCAAGACGCTCCCGACATGGTTGCCTGCCTGTCCCAGTGCACCATGCCACGCCTTCTCCGGACCCAAGAATTACTCTGTGGAATTTGGATGGACGAAAGGAGTTCATTTGCTTGGTCTATCACACGAAACTGAAAAAGCCCTCGAACGGGCACAATGCTGACCATCACCGCAACCGGTTTGTAGCCCACCAGATTGCCAGAGTTCCGGGCACTCAAGCGTCAGTCAGCTCCCGGGTCCTCTGGAAGAAGTTCTTCTGGAACTCTCCGGGCGTGCAAGCGGGACCCCCGAGCAAAGCGCAGCAGACAGCCCAAAAACCAATGCACAGCACCTCAAAGACAGCTCATCGACATCCGACAGTGAAGATGACGATGATTCCGACCCCCTTGACTTTAAGCCCTACGGGCGGACGCTGGGCGGGCTCTTGAAATGATATTTAGTCTGGAGTTACAAGCTTCTGGGCTCATGTCCAAGACAATCCACCTATATACCCCAGACCGGTTTATTTTTCACCACGACATGAGGGTTTTCGAAGAAGATTGGAGCGTCACCCCGCGCAAGTCCAGAGCCGCGACAGCGGCCGCAAAACGGTCTCCGACTGCAACGACTAGAGCCCGGACGACAATGAGAGCATCGACAGCTACGCAAACCAAGTCACGGGGAAGAGTAGCGGGTGTGACGAGAGTTAAGGCGAGAAGAGCCGCAGACTAACCGCCCGTCGCTCAACCACCCGTTGTTCAACAGCCCGTTCCCCAGGAGGCCGTTCCTCAAGTGTTCTGGGTCAACCAAAGACAATCTACAACAAGAACAACTACTTTGAGCCCAACAGTTTCCCGGCTACTATCTATCTATCCCCTTGACAACGAGGCCGACAAGGATGTTTACGACGGCGAGAAAGACCACGAGGACAACGATGGCGCTGCGATGAAATTTCGCCATGTATATCCTGGCCGACGCTAGTGAGGACATCATAGAGCAATATCCGTTGATCAGCCGCCTTCACGACCAAGACTTCCGCTGAAAGTTTCCGCATTGGAATCGTCTCCATGTTGAGATTCATGAAGACAAATGCGGACGAGACCGTCGAGGCCATGACTCTGAATGTTCCGGACTTCCCATTATGAGATCAGTCGCAACTTTGCGTGACGATCCCGGAACAGTGGGATAGCGATTTCATGTTCGAGCAGGTCTACTTGGAGATCATCGCGGAGGCGTACAATTGGACTGGAACCAGGACTCGGCACACGATCGTGTCATCTTCTTTTTCGAGGCGGAGGTGTTGGCGTACTACCTCCTGTTTAGCCCGGCGTACATGAAGGCGCAACGTGCACTCAACCGCGACTCTACGCACCAAATCATTCTCTTCATGGAATTTGGCGGACACCGCTGGGCCGGAGTCCACGACGAGGGCACCTTCAACCCCATGGCTGAGGAGGTATCCTCCTCGATCGTACCAAGGAGGCTACCGGCTGGGAAGACGCCTGACGCCACATGTCTTTAAAGCCCTCTCTCTTCCTGGTCATTATCGAGGCGCGAGGGAGTGGAACCTCAACTCCTCGTTACCAGTGTACCAAGAACACGCTACTGAGGTAGATCTCATTTGGCCTCTCGGGGCAAAATACACGACCGTTGGCCGGCAAGGTATAACTGTCGTTTTCTTGGTTTGAGTTGTGGATCGGCAGGATGTTCTGAGTCTCGCTCGGGGGCATTAGGCAGGCACGAATGCCCGCCCGAGCTTTCCAAGTCGATGCCTATGGTTAGTAGTAGTATGGGACGGACTATATGATTCGCTACACTCTTCCTTAGGGTAGTCGGGGTAGAAAAGTTTGTTCGGTAAATCGAACATGGCGTTGCACATCCTCAACTGTCGAAGTTGCCGGAGAGTTGGGATTCCGGCAGCTTGGGGCCGGTACTTCCGGATAAACCTCCTGATGAATCGGGGATTTGGGCCGGGCCTTGGAATCCTTTCATCCTCATTCCCAAGAGGAATGTCGCGCCCTACCAGATATCTCCCCAAGACAAAAGCGAATATTAGAAGGACATAACGATATATCCCAAAGATGCGTTTTCATTTTCTCAGTGAATCTGCCCTTCATCCCAACTTTCATATGGAAATTTGTACCGACCAGTTGGGATAGCCAAGACACCGAAGCGCAAAGCGAAAGTTGCCTCAAATTGAAGACCATGTTGAAGGCGGGGGGAACTCCGCCCATCTGACCGTAGAGGGGCATCGATAGCTGGTGATGGAGATGTCCGGAAATGATCCTCTTCCTCCTACTTCCCCCTCTCCATGATGATGACTACCACCAAGCGGGCTGTAATGGAATTCTTTATTTTGAACACTCTCTGCGGGATCCATGATCTCAGGGTTTTGAACATGAAGCCGTCGTAGGGAATAAAACCTTAGCACGTGAGCGTCGATATCTCGGACCTTCCTTCGTTCCCTTTGCGCTGGCAGCGGTGGAGAACGGGAGATAGCTTCCCAGATCCTGCGAGGCGGTGGTTGACTGAGCGGAGCACCAGGAGAGCAGAGCCCGCTATATAACAGCGCATGCGCCCATTCCGATGGGGACTTCCGCTCTTGCCCAACGGCCATGGAAGGAATGCACGACCCACGTTGTCGGCAATGGCGCCATCACTGCAGACCTACCTACCACAAGGCTACCACTAACGCACCGGCCAGCCCAACTGGCAGCAGGCAAAATCGTCCAAGCCGAAATGCCTTCCTTCCTACAGTTCTCACGAGTGATCTGGTCTTCCAAACAAGACCACCGTTCGGGTCCAAGAGCCTCAACCAACAGTCATGACGACTACCAAGGAGTTGGGGACGACCAACAGGAACTTGGCGACGACTAACAAGGATGCCGCCTGGCCCTCGAGCATTTCCACACGGAGAACAAGATTCTCCTCGAGGCGCAGCGAACGTCAAATTAGCCAGAGTCAGACGATATCAGAACCCCCTCCGCGAGCGCGGAGAGGGAGAAGCAGCGACACTACCGGACCACCGCTGGATGAACGAAAGCACGAAAGCGCAAAGGGCCAAGAATACATGTGGTGCTGCTTCTCAATCAGTGCTCACTGGCACTCACCGAGCATCCTTCGCTTCGCTGATTCAGAGTGAGAGTCTCGGAAGACAGCTCGTCCTGGTCACGGATGAGGAACAGGGTTGGGCTCTTCCGGGACATAGACACCAACGATGCATCCTTTCTTGCGCAGCAGTTTCTGTTCCGCAGCAACGATTAATTCGACTAGAACAATACAAACATGTGCGCAACTGAGGGCGCTAGCCTTTGTTTGGTTTTCGCAGCTTTCTATCCAGTTTTGCTTTGGACTGAGATCTTTGATGAAGAAACAGAACGAAGTTGTTAATTAGTTCGAAATCCAGGACATGCACATGCTCTTTTCCACGTGTAAGGGGTTGCAGTGGCAGCAAGCGCAATGGCGGACAATTGATCCAAATTGAGTAAGTTATGGTATATAAGTCAACATTTTGTGTCAGGCTTGCAACAACCCCCAGAAGTGGGAAGGAACAGTAGGCCAGAGTAGCAGCCATCTAGGTTGTGAAAGGGCTTGAATGGTGCTGCGCTTGTGGTAGGATCAGCAGCTGGCGTCTTCCGGCTACGTACCCATTAATAAGCCTCTTCTACTACTTCCCAGGAGGGATACCGTACGTCCCACGTCCGAAATACGTCCAGTCCACTTCTCAAATATTTTTATTTATTTTGGTAGATTTGCCACAAACATGAAGATCGAATACACTCACGTCAAACGAGCAAGGATGAGAAATGATAGAGAGAGGCAATCTGACCCTTCCTTTCATGGGCAACAAAGGATGCTAGAGAGGTGATCATTCAGCAAGCGTCTCTATGTGATGAATTGGAACAGCCACCAGCCTTCTTAGTCCGGCTCGACTCCCGGATCGCGTCAACTTCAAGGTGGTTTCGTTCCTACAACTATCCATGACATCTGGCCGTGGAGGACGGATGTACTCCGCAATCCTCTGGGCAAAGCTTGCTTGCCTCTTGAGAGTAAGAGCCCTAGGCTGTCGTGTATGGCTGTCGTCAGAGATCCCCCGTACAGTGCCTGACCTGTGGATTGATGCCTCAACGCCATTGGACATCACTGTATGACCCCTTGGGTCTGAACCACCTTGGAATGACTTTCCCCCTGTTGTTCCCTTGTGTTGTTGAAGCCCAGTAACTTCTGTCATTGCACCACCGGTTGCATAACTGGGTGCCCAGCTGTTGCGACTCGCACGACTCTTGTTGCCAGTTGTCGTCCTGCTTGTCCCAGCTACAGCGGTCGAGCCTGCGCTTAGACTCGTGGGAGCCAGCGTGACATACTGTTGATGGGGATCCGGCCTGACGAGATCATGTAGCTGAGTTTCCATACTGTTCAACAACTCTTGGTGTGGCCTCTCCTCATGTTCCGCTTGTGCGAGAAAAAGCTCGTAATCGGTGAGTGGAGCTGGCCTTGTGGTAGTCCATGTTGGTGGACTTGGTAGGTGAGATGATTTGAAGCGCTCCTGCTGCGAGGATGCCGATGCCATGTCCCGCCGGTGACCCCGGAATCTCATCTCGGCCAGAGGATTTGCCGACTCTGGGTGACGGTATGCTCGCCGTGACTGCCGTGTCTGTGGACGGGATATCTGGCTTGCTTCGGACCCTGAAATACATGGTCGGCACTCGCGGAGCATCGAAGGAGGTGGTGTGATTGTTAACTGAGAAAAGTCGGTGGCAGCATGTTTAGGTTGGTAGACGTAACGCGGCCTTTCTTCCTCGTTGTCGGGTACGGTGTCCAGGATTGATGTGGGTTTCTGCCATACCCTGAGCTTGTCGCGAAGACTTGTTCTGCGTCTGAGTTGTGGTTGCGCCATTGTCGGTGTCTGTTACTTGTGCGTGAAGTACTTTGTAGAGGAAGACAGCAAAACTAGTAGATGATGTGTTTGTGTCGATCTTGATGTTATAGAGAAGTGGTTGGCTATGCTTGAAGGGTAGACTCCCTTGATCATCCGGGTCGGGGATGGCTAGCCGTGTTATACATCCGGCCAGGGGTAGTGAGTGAGGAGATGAGAAAAACAGTCTTAAAAAGCAAGACCGGTATTACATGCAAGCAGGTGCTGCCGTTGGGTATGATCTTGATCCAGATGGAACTTGTATCCCGTGCATGGTGTGACGTCGGCAGGAGGTTTTGAGACGTAGAGACACGGCCGGCTAAACACAAGAACATGATGACTTGGGTAGCCAGCGTAGCATCGAACTGAGGTTTACCAAGGAATGATGAATTGGCGTGCAGAACTTCATTGCTCGCAAACACCATCCTTCCTCCGAACTGCAGATGACTTGTTGTGCTCGTTCTGATGAAAACAGTTTGGCTCCCCTGCATGACGCATGCCGTCTGGTCAAAGAAGGCAGGACGGGAAGAGAAAGATGCATCTGACTTGAAGGTTGGCATCTTAAACATGACTTTGACCAATACGCGCCGCTTTGGAGCATACAAGAGGGTGTGAGGGGAAGGATGAAATGGTGCCCGTGATGGGGACTTTTGGCTCGTGTAAGTGCAAATGCCGCAGAGCCAAGAAAATCGGGGTGTGATTCGCGGGTAGGAGAATTAATATGCAATTTGGAGGTGATAACGAAAGGATGTGCTGGAAAAGAAACGACAGAATCTGGAGACAAAAGCTGGGGAATGCGGGGGTTGACTCTGTTTGGTTTGGCTGGTGGTCACGGATGCCATCTCACTCTACCTCGTGACTTTTCTCCAACCGACGTTAACAGGTCAAGACAAGAGACGTCGAGGGTGGCTTGGTGGTGGCTTGTCTTCAACCGTCCCCATTGGCAATAACAAGACATGCAATCTTCTTTGCAGTTAATATCGGGACATGAGGACGATAGTTCGGAACGGAAAAGAAAGAAAAGAGCAACTGTCAAGACGAAGTTGTCGTGAGATGCTTCCCGCGAAAGGTTTACAAATAGGTGAGGTTGAATTAAGCTCGGAGTTCCCCACTGCCGAGAGCAAACAGTGGGCTCTCGCCATCTTGGTCTCTGGGTTGTCCTTGTCATGATGTCGATCGGATAGCATCTGATCTGGGCATCGGCATCGGGAAGAAGAGGGGCGGAAACAGGAAGAGGAGTGATTTCTCCGGCCGTACGGGAAGAGACAGACGGGAAAAGGCATGGATGTTGACTATTGAAGCCATCACCGGAAGTTTGGACGGAATGGCCTGAATCGATCAGCAATACAACTCCGACTTCAGCGGCTGTGGTTTTCTGTGGCTTCAGCCTCAGCCATGGTCAACGGCCATATTGGTGTGTGGTAGCAATGGATGTCTTGGATACGAGAAAAGGGTACGAAACACAAGGCGGGAATAGGCGCTGGTTGTGACGGGTGTTGTTTGTGAAATTGAAGTGGAAGCGAGACATCCACGAGACAGAAAAGTTTGTTGCTGAATTGACGAAGGCAACTTTTTTCCCGGCCGAATCGATTTCCGACAGTGCCTGGCGGCCCGTGCCGCTTGTCAAAGCTCCCAGGACCCACATTACACCTGCCCGGATGGACCCCACTTGAGCACGAACGGCGGGGTCTGGACGTTGTGCTACAAACAGCTGAGCGCTGTAAACTTCAAACAGCTTTTGGCCATGACATTTGACATCGAGACTACCATCAACCACCAGCCCCACCGTCTCATACATCACATCGCGTTCAAGATGGGCGCCTTCGCCTCTCGTGCTTCTCGCCCGTCAGATACACTCTCGTCTTCCACGCCGAACCGCAGTTCGTGGACACGGTCAAGCAGGCCGTCTTCGCTGCTGGCGCCGGCCGCTATCCCAACTACAGCGAATGTTGCTGGACCGCCAACGGCACCGGCCAGTTTCGACCAGTCGGCGCTGCCAACCCACATACCGGCGAGGTTGGCGTCCTAGAAAAGATTGAAGAGCTGAGAGTCGAAATGTTGTGTGATAGCGAGGAGACGGCCAGGAAAGCTGTCGAAGCTCTCAAGAAGTGAGTTCCATTGCTTTATACGGGGTCACTAACCATAAGCGCTATCAATGGCCATCGGCAATTGTTAGCGGACGTCAGCTAACCACGACAATGACAGAGCACACCCCTACGAGGAGCCATCATATGCCGTTTATAAGCTGGAGGATTTCTGATCCTGTCGTTGTCCACAATTACTTCCGCGTAACGTTGCTCCAATATACACTTCTTTTCTTCCCGTCCACGCGAGGTTTCGATATCGAACTTCCAGCCTGATCGAACCCTGGCTCTCTTGCCCGGTCTCACTGGTGTAGGGGACTGCCACGATGCCAAATCAAGATTAGCGCACCACCGAGCTGACACTCCGTCGCTCTCTCTCAATCGCTCCCATCATCTTCAGACCGTTCCAATGGATCGAATCGCAGCCCAATCAAATCGGCCTTCGACTGATTTACATCCTGTCTTCGGCCTTCGACAGTTCGAACTTGGTTGCCGGAAACGCCCAAACCCCAAGAACCGGACCCTGAGATACGTGCAGTAGCCGTCTGCCCAGTCAGGGCTTCTTCCAACGATGCGCCTCATCAACGTCCATACCCTCGAGATCCAGTCCTTCTCGGGTACAAACATCCCGCAATATGCCATTCTGTCGCACACGTGGGGCACAAAGGAGGCAACTTTCCAGAAATGGACCAACAAATGGTCCCGATTGACCCACAAGCATACCTCCGGCTACCACAAAGTTCTGGCCACGTGCAAACAGGCCCGCCATGACGGTCTCAAGTACGCATGGGTGGACACTGGGTGTATCGACAAGTCCAGCTCGGCCGAGCTATCAGAAGCCATAAATTCCATGTATACCTGGTACAAGAAGGCAACGATATGCTACGTTTACCTCTCCGATCTCGCCGCATCCGATACATTCGATTCCCTTCGAGAAGGCAGGTGGTTCACCCGTGGCTGGACCCTCCAGGAGCTCATCGCCCCTGACAATGTCCAGCTCTACACCAAAGACTAGGAGTTCCTGGGCACCAAGAAGGCCCTCGCGTACTCATCTCTACTATTACAGGAGTTGACGAGGCATGTCTAAAAAAGGACAAGCGATTACGCGACTACAGTATTGCACAACAGGTATGACCTGGGCCGCAAAGTGAGAAACAACTCGAGAGGAAGACCAGGCTTATTGTCTGCTTGGTGTCTTCGGTATCAACATGCCTCTGCTCTATGGGGAGGGACCAAAGACCTTTAGAAGACTTCAGGAAGAGATCATCAAGGCGTCTGATGACCACAGCATTCTTGCTTTTGACACGAATCCGTCCGATGGCACTCTTTTTGCCCACCATCCCTCTGCTTTTGCCAAAGTCAAAGGACGCTCCATCCACCCCAACTATGGCCGCCGTCTTACACTGCCGTTCTCCATGACGAACGCCGGCCTAGCCATAACCACACCGCTTATACAGACCCTGTCGCCCTACTGGGTGCTCGCTGTCCTTAACTGTGTCGAAGTTGACGCCACAAGTAATATGGTACGATCCCAGATCTGCTTGCCGCTCGTCGGGAAGGATAACCAGTATATGCGAGCCCGAATACCCATCAGCCTCATTAGCCGAGATATTGACGATCCGGTGGCCCAAATCGCCTTTGTCAGAAACGCCACAGGAAAGGAGAGGTACACCTCGGGCGTGTTCGACCTGACGAGCAGTTCCGAAAGAAGCTACTACATCTCCTACTTCGGACGCGTATACTCTGCTTATGGCCGCCAGATCGACGCAGCCATGAGAGGGTTCGAAGTGTACCCACAGCCTGAATACGGGCTCATGATCACATTTCCTAGGGGGGTGGCCGGATATCAACTTCATACCGCCCTGCCTAGAGGAGACTTGAGAGACGACATCAGTTTCTTCATTCCCACGTGTCGGTTTGTCCGGCCCTCCAGCAATCCCTTCATCGGAGATTGCCAGATATCCAGTGGGATAATCATCTTCAAAGATGACAGCCTCCCGCACGACGAGCCATCTCAATGCGTCGGAATATACCTCGCCTTCGCGACCTCAACCGCATATACGCCTGCAATCCTACCGCTACGCAGGACATTTTGGGATGGGTATGAAGACCCACTGCGATGGTCTTGTGGCGTATCTCCCATTCGGGAGTTCGATAACAGAACAGACGCTGAGGAGGTTCTAGCCAGAGCGAATCAAGATGTTTTCCAGAATCACTCGCCGCGTTATTATCAATACGAGAACACCATTGTGTCAGCACGGACGAGGTTCCAGACCCCGAGGGGGGAACCATGTAGAGACACAGTTATGGTGGAAATTGTGTTTGATGCGGACGAGTTAGTCAGGGAGAGGGATGCCGAGGAGAGAGATTTCGAGTAGTTACGCACCCAAAGCAATGAATCGAACTGAAACCAAGAGTGTGGCAGTGCTGCAACAAGATGTCCTTGCTTTGACTTGCGGGCATTGGCTGGTGAAAATGGCGGTATAAATGACTTTGGCCTTGGCAGATAGGCCAAATGTAACCCGTTGCTGCATTTCGTGGATCTGTTTCTCTTTCTCCCATCACGCCTATTCGGCAATCGCTGACAGTCAAACCTCAGCCCCTCTTGTGAAGGTTGGTTGGCAAGGAGACGTTTTCATCCACCGAGCGTCTTGTAAATCGTTCCTTCCCTTTTCCTACTCGCTTACCAGACCCGCCATCTGATCACTCAGTCAGTCAAACCCCTACACATCCCCTTCGTCAAAGCCTTCTCCAGATCTCCTGTTACTATGCACGACAGCTACTCGTCATGGACGTCCTCAACGCAATAACAATCGTTCACGGTGTCGCGAAACTGGCTTATCTCCTTGGGACCAAAACCATCTGCAACGTTGCAAACGCAGCAAACGATCAGCAAGTATTACAAGGTTCGGATGAACTGTTCACTCAATAAAATGGGAGGAACATTGGATATTCCGGATTGATAATAGGATACTTCGGTTGTTTACGATTCCAATGGTCAAAGACAAACCATTTGCCAATGGCATAAGTCCTCACACCTTCAACTTTTTGACTCCCCTTGATGGTTGAACTTGATACCTTTAATAGCTTATAGACCCGAAATTTTTCTGCATCAATGGGAAATTCAACCAAAGTTGCAATAAAACACCACCACAAAAATGAAATGATGTATCGGTCAAGATCTGTATCTCGCTTCTACAACAGCATGTGGGTCGCTTCTCTGTCATGCAATCAAGAACACAATGCTAAACAGATACTAGATCGATCAAGCTTCATCATGAGCGGCAACAATACCGGAACTGGTAGTCCAGTTCAAACTACTATGGATGCGGTTGTCGCGGCCTGGGAGTCAACAGTCCACAAGATTCGCCAGTGCAAGAAGGAGGCTCAAGCCCAGTTGGAGGAGCTTGCTGGCCTGGGCGTATCCCTATAAGTGCTCAGACTGTCAGTATTTTGAGAGGGTTAAGGGCCTCAGGAACACTCTTAACCAGCCTGCTGCTGAGGACGCTCTTCCTCAATTCGAGACCTCGACCGCTGTTCTCGCCGCCATTGCTGCCTCTCCAGCTCCCGTCTCACCAGTTCCCGTCATGCCCATGTCTAGAAAGAGGTTGAGGAAGCTTTTTTCTCCCGCAAGAGGCAATAGCCGCTGAGTCCGAAGGTTAGTCTCCGTCCGGGTGCGCGTCCCATGATCCTCTGCCTCCCAAGGCGAGGATGTCGACAACAAGAAGGATGAGGGCAAAGAGAAGGACGTCGACACTTCCGCTATTACAGCCACAACCCAAACCAAGTCGGTCGGCAGCAGAAAGTCCAGATTTGGAACCATCAGCTCGAAGAAGGATGTCAAGGGCAAGGACAAGGCGATTTCCAAATCGCCTTCGCCGGAGACTTTCTCCCCCAAGACTTTGAGCAAAATGACGAAGATCGTCAAGAACGGCAGACTTGTTGGCAGGCTCCCACTCATCAAACCTATCTCTACGCTGAAACTCGCCAGTCTTAGCGCTGCCATCCAATCGGGCTCCACCCCTGGTCCTCCCAGTTCCAAGCAGCGCCCTATCACGCCCGAGCCCGTGTCAGAGACCGAGGAGTCTGAGACTGAGTACTTGTCCGTGTTGGAGTTCAACCACGGACTTTCTTCCCCTCCCGATGCCTCTTCCACTCCCGGCCATGCTTTGGCTACCGCTGCCGTTGTTACCGCGGGCACTTCCGGCGATCATATCCCGCTTGAAGACCAGGAGCAGCCCATTGTCAGCATTAAAGACGGAGAGCATGAAGTCGAAACTCTCGATTGTGGCCCTACTACTACCACAGCTGAAGCTAGCAATAGCGCGGGCAAATCTGAATCTGTATCCGGAACCAACATTACCTCTTCCGACGGCGTCAACGAGGGCCAGGGCGGCACGATCGATGAAAGAAAGACCAAGGAGAAGGTCGACAACAGCGGCACTCCCACAAAGACCAGCACTGCCAGCAAGAGCGGATCTGGTTTCACTCCCCCCCAAGAGAGATTTGAAGGGCAAAGGCAAAGCCATTGCCAGATCTCCTTCTCCTGATCTTCATTCTACAAAGATCATCATCAACAACAACAAAGTGACGAAGAGCAGAAAGAACAACAAGGAGAACCAACCATTCTCCAGGCATAGTCCATCTCCCAGGGTTTCATATGAGCATGCATTGAACAGCATCTCCAGCAACAAGAACGTTGAAGAGGAGATCATTGTCAAGGCCAAAGACAATGCGCAGGCGGTCGGCTATCCCACTCACAATCGTACCACAACCGCCACCACAGAGGATGTCAATGGCAAAGAGGAAGTCATTGTCATCACTACTACTACCACTACCACAGAGGATGTCAACAACAACAAGAGCGCCAGCGCATCCAGCTCCACCTCTGGCCCCGGCTCTATCCCGAGCAAGAAAGATCCAAAGGGCAAGGGCAAGGCCAAGGCAGTCTTCCCTCCTCCCTCCACCCTTCCTCCGCCCTTGATCTTGTCCGCCTCCGCCGGACCTTCCTCCACCAGTGCCGCTGGCCCAAGCTCCCCCAAGAGTAAGACGGGTCCCATCAACAGCACCAAAGTCACCAAGCAGAATCCTGAACGCAGTGAATCGCATCCATGACGACTGGTGGTTCTACAAAGGGAGTACCTGGGGGGTCTTTGCTGTGTGAGGCGAGTTTAAGTCGATAGAAATTGCGTGATCTTTTACTCAAGTCCTGTAGTCGACTCTGGACCGTGTACGTGGATTTCGTATTGCCTTCGCCTGGGACGTGACCACCATGAAGCGCACCAGGAGGATACACCATCACAATGATGTATCACTAGAAAGAATCAGAAGAATGGACTACTGTTCCAGTCTCGGTTTCGAACGTCAACCCGCGGAAGCGCGCCCGGGAAGACAGCGAGTATGGTAACGAGAACCACAACGCCAATAACCACCACAATCTCGGTAATCCGTCTTCTCTGTCCGCCCAAATCACCAAGATCTACTCGAGGGAGCAACAGCATTAGCAACCATCAACAGTCCCAGCAGTCGCACATGTACTGGCAACCAGACCAATATCAGAAACCGCAAGGGATTCGTATTCAGGTTCCATTGACAGAACCTCGTACCCACTCGCTTCATTCACACTCAGGATAAAGTTCAGATGAAATGTTCAACGACTAGGCCACCAGTGTCTAGAATGGGTGGGGTACCAGATGGACAATAGCATGCCTCACTTATTCACGACCGTTGGTCTTGGCACCCACTTCCTTCACCCGCACTCAATACAAAGTTCAGATGAACTGTTCAATGACCAGAAAGGGTGCAACACCAGGAACTAGCACGATTGACAATAAGATACTGCTATTGTTCACGATTGACAATAAGGTACTGCTATTATTCACGATTGACAATAAGATATTGCTATTGTTCACGATTTCCAATGCGAACGTTGATCTGCTCGCCAAAGGCATAAGTTCTTGAGCGATCAATTCCTTTGACTCGTCCTCAATCTTGAACTCTTCAACCTCTGCAACAAATTTGCAAATCGAAATCACTTTGGCAACCTGCAAATTTCAGCAAACTCTCATCAACAGCATTTTGAAGATCATTACTCACATTGACATTCCAGCATTGGACAAAAGTCATCCTTTTATCCAACAGGTACGTCGCTTCTCTCCCTTCGATCATGAACTCAAGTCTAACCACATCCCAGAACAATATCAACAACCAACCACGAATCATCATGAGCGACACCATTCAAGAGATGGATTCCGTTCTCGGCGCCTGGGAGTCCGCTCTCCTCAGAATCCGCAAGTGCAAGCAGGAGCTTGAGGCCCAGCTTGCCGCTCCTGGTGCGCAGGCTGTCGGCGTTTTGAGGAGCTTCTACGAGACGGTCAATTCCGTCAAGGAGAAACTCAACCAGCAACCTGCTTCAGTCGAAGCTCTTTCCGAAGTCGAGGTCTTAATCGCCGCTGCTTCTTCAACTCCCTTCACGCCCGCCGCCAACAAGACCCTGGCCGAAACCCTCGTTCCAGAGAACCCCGTTGCCGTTCCCTCAATTCCCTCCACCGGCGAGAGCCCCGAGCTTCCCCCTGCCACGGTCGAGCGCGAGTCTGAGTCCGAGGAGCAGTCCGACCATGATCAATCCGCTACTCCCCGCTCTTCTTCCAACACGGCTGCTATCACCACGGCCAATGCCACCACCACTCCCTCCGCCTCTATCGACACCCAGAGTCATGAGGTCAACCTCAACAACAACAACAACAACAACAACAACAACAACAACAACAACGACAAGGGCAAAAACAAGCCCGTCGACACTACCCCAACCAAGACCACAGCCCAATCTAGTGGCAACAACAACATCAACATGAACAAGTCCGGATCGGGTTCAATTCCCTCCAAAAAGGACACCACCAAAGACAAGGGCAAAGCCACAGCCCGATCCCCCTTTTCCGACCCCTTCTCTCCCTTGACCATGGACAATATTACCAAGACCGTCCGTGGCAGCAGATTTGGCGCCCGGCTTCCCTTCATCAAGCCTGTTGATGCTCTCAACTACGCCCGCGCCACCGGTACTCCTTTTGGTCGTCGTTCGGTGTCTGGTCCCAGCCGTCTTGAGCAGCAGCAGCAGCGTGCTGTTACACCCGAGCCTATGTCTGAGGTTGAGGAAGAGTCATCGGAGGAGGACGAGGAGAAGTCAACGTCCAGCGTTTACTTGTCGCTTTTGGAGTCGCCGCATCGCGCTTTGTCGGCTACTCCTGATGCTTCTTCCACGCCTGGCCCTGCTTTTGCTGGAGCTGCGGCTGCTAGGGATGGTGCTGGCGGCAGTCCTACCCCCGCGGTCGGCAAAGAGCTGGAACAGGAGGAGGCGATTGCGGGAGCTGCTGCTGATGAGAGAGAGCACGATGTCGATGGCGTTGAGGCTGAGGGCGAGACTGCGACTTTTGCAACTGCTATTGGGGCTAGCAGCAGCAGCGAGAGCGGATCTGGATCTGGGTCCAAGCATGATGTCGTCTCCAACATCGACGATACCATGGAAATTTGGGATGGTGACAAGGAGACACAGGGAAACTCGAGCAATGTTGTGGAAGGAACTGGCGAAGACAAGACCAGCAATACTCCTGCAAAGGTGAAGAAGGGCACAACCAAATCCAGCAGCGGTTCTGGTTCGATACCCTCCAAGAAAGATTTGAAGGGCAAAGGCAAAGCGATTGCCAGGTCCAGGTCTTCCTCTCCTGGCTCGCCCTCCCCGAGGAACGATAACCACAAAGTCATGAAGAACATCAGCAGCAAGACTGCAAAGAACAGCAGCAGCAACAGCAATAACAAAGCAATGAAGAGCGGCAAGAACAAGGAGAACCAGCCATTCTCCAGACGTAGCACTAGCCCAGCCATAGCGAGCTCGTCTAAGGCCAAGACTGCATCCAACAGCGTTGACAGCAACAACAAACCCAACAACAACATCGAAGAGGAGATCGTTGTTGAAGAACACAAAGGAAAGGGGAAAACAATCGACACCCCAACTCCTGTTCCTGCCACCACCATAGCTATTACTGTGGATATCGATGAGATGGCCGGTGTCGAAGTCAACAATGGCCTCGATAAAAATTCGGAAAGCGCCAGCAACAGCGCTACTACTACCAACAGCAAAACCGGCAACAACAACAAAGCCAGCGGATCCGGCCGCGGCAATATCACCAACAAGAAGGACCTCAAGGGCAAGGGAAAAGCCATCTTCCCTCCTCCCTCCTTACTCCCTCCCCCTTCTTATTCTTCCGCCGGCCCTGTCACAGCTGGCCTTTCTTCCACCGCCGCCAACCCTTACGCCGGCCCCAACTCCCCCAACCCTTCTGCCGGCCCCTCCACCGCCGCCGCCGCTTCTTCTTCTTCCGCCAACCCCCCTGCCGCCGCCTCTTCTTCTTCCTCCCCCGCCATCCCCCAAACCAACAAAGGCGACAAAATCACCAAGCGCCGCGATCGCCCTACAATCAAGCGCTCGCTCGCCAAAAAGGGCGCCCACTGGACTTTCAAGCTGGAAGCCCAATTCGCCCTTTCACCCGCTGACGTCGAAACCAGCCGCGACAAGTACTTCATCCTGTGCTGTCCGGCGCCCAGCTGCCCTGCGCCCAACTTTGGGGGTAAACACCCGTTCCGCGAGGGACGGGCTTTGGCGCATTTTGCTGCTCCGGCTCGGTCTGGGACTGAGGCTGAGAAGAAGGCAGATGAGAAGAATGAGGATGAGGATGATGATTCGGACTTGTATTCGAATTATGATGACTCGGATGAGGAGGGGAAGGAAAAGTCAGCTGGCATGGACATGGGCAAGAGGAACGCTTGTCTGATGGCGATCGATGAGGAGGAGGGTGTTGAGCACGCAGCTGATAGTGATGGGGATGTGGAGATGACCGAGGCGGACATCTTTGAGAGGTTTGGAGCGGAAGTTGTGCCGGACCAGAAAAGGTGGAAGGTCGATGAAAAGTGGGCCATGAACAACAATCGCGAGTTGTGCAAGAAGAAGAGGGGAGAGGAGAAATAGGAGATGTTGGCGGAGTTGTGAGTGTGAGGAAAAAAAAGTGTCTGGATTACACCGGTATGACCGGTTTCTTTTGAGTGTTTATGAACTGGAGGGGAGATATACGAGCATGTCCATGGTGTTTGAGTCATCAGCGTGGAGTTATGGATTACAGGTCGGATTAGTATTTGCTTTGCTTCAGGAAGGAGCTCAAAGGATCTGACTGATTGTCACACGGACATTCGACAAT